GTGCTGGTTGGAGCTTTCACCGTCAGATTAATACACACTATTGATAAATCAGTTTTCTAATTATCTGGATGTTTTCTGTAACTGAAACACCTGAAACACTGCTGCTTGGAATAGATAATAGTATTCTGAGTTTTGTTTCACGTTGTCCTGCACTTGGAACACTCCCAACTCTTATTTTGGACTTGAAATGGTTTACACTCAAAACGTTTTGCGTATCCTTCCTCTGCTTTTTGACTTGAGTGATAATGGATCATCTAGAACAGCATCTCCAGTATAAATTTGTTCCTATAATTTAACATTACAGCAATAGGTAGTTGGCTAACCCCAAGAACAGTCAATGATTAAATGATTTTCATTTGAGTTTTGCGTGTATGTTTTAATTACACCAATATTAACCAAAATTGGACCCAAAGACTAAGATATGCTATACAATTCTAGCAAAGAATTAATTATTTGTACTTAACACTTTGACATGACCTATAATAACATCTGAGCTGACTATCTATGGAGTTTTAAACAGTTGTTGATATTTAATAGATTGGTTTAGAGTGAACCAGTGAGAGCATATTTTAGACTGATCCAGAAATAGCTCATATCCTTGTTGAAAACTAAGTGACATGCATCCCTTGAGGGAAAAACTTGCTTACACTTTTCTAGTGCCTTCCGAGACATATGAAAACCATTCCCATAATGGTGGGAATGGGAAATGGTAGAACCTGTAAACCATCAGCATAACTACAGCAGAGCACCAGGCATAAGTTGAATCCAGAAACAATTGAAAATTAGACTGGACTCGATACTTGCGTGCGATTTCTGGAATATGCCACAGGTTATATAAGCTCATGTTTCTCAACCTAGTTTGATCTTTTGCAACAATCCTAGCACAACATTCCAGTCCTGCAAATAAGTGCAATAACAACAGCATCAGCATATTTTGTTTTGCACTTGTCAGTTATGTTGTATTGCTGCACTTGGGCAGAACCTGTACTATAATTTCCTTATAATTACAGCTTTGGTGTACCTGAATAAAATTGAGTCACAAAAATTTGGGAGAAGAATTTATTTCAGCAATATTGGAAAAAAATGGGAGTTGTTTTGTATATAAATCCTTAACTATATTCATAACTTATATTGATCATGGCAGATATGTTGGGATGGAAATTAATCTGCAGGGGGCTAAGACTTTGATATTGGGAATTTATGCCCCAAATGAAAATAAAACAGCATAAATTATTGGACTTTCCATATGAAACTTGGTGTCTCCTGGGAGATTGGAATGGGGTGGTTTCCCCACAAAAAGAACTTCTGAGAAAAATATTAAAAATACACAAGACAAACTATCAAAGATTTTCTTTGATTTAATGGACTACTTGGAGCTTGTTGATGCATGGAGATATAAAAATGGTGACTCAATATACTTATTTTTCTGAAAGATATAGTTCTTTTTCAAGATTAGATAGGATTTGGATCTCTCAGACTTTCGCTATTAATCTTCATAAAGTGGAGACATTACCAAAGACTTTCTCAGACCACAATCCAATGCCTTTAGCTTTTAAAAGGAAATATGGCTGTTTCAGATGGAGATTGAATGAGATGCTGCTGCAAAAGGAAACGGTAGTGGAGGATTGCAAAAAGAAAAGAATTTTTTGACAATCTGGATAAAGGCACAGAAGTAAGAGCGGTTTGGAATGCAAGCAAAGCTTTTGTAAGAGGATATTTTATACAACATGATAGTGAATTTAAAAAGGCAAGAGAAAATATGGATGAGATTAAAAAAAAAGAATTTTTAAAAATCCCCAGGGAGGACAACTATTACCTACCAAATTAAGCTTCTACGGAGGCAACTATCTATGTTAACAGTGAGAGAGATGGAAATAAAGATGAATTGTGCAAAACAAATTTTGAATTTGCAAATAAACCAGGGAAATGGTTGGCATATAAGTTGCAAAAAAAAAAAAAGATACTAAAGTTATAAGAAGGAAATATTAATAACAGATAATGCAAATGTATGTGAAAAGTATTTTATCAGTATTATTTTGCTTTATATAAACGTCAAGAAATTTCCTTGGAAAAAGTGCATGAATATTTACATAAACAGAATTTACCAAAGAGCACAGAGAATCAGACAAATTTTGAATGTGCCTATAACAATAAGGGTTGTGAAGCTATTAAAAAGACTAAAACAGGAAAGGCGCCTAGTCCAGATGGTCTGCCGGCCTCTTACTATAAATGTTTTGAGGATGAACTTTTACCACCTTTACAACAAATGATGAATATTATTTTACAGAATGGAAAGA